ACTCATAATATATATATATATATATATATATATATATATGCAGTGAAAAATAGACCTCTGTAAAAACTATCGAACACGTCCCATAGACGTGTGCAAAGTGTTTGCCTTAATGAAACCTATCCTTTCCACCCTCTGCTTAGCCAATGCAGTTTTTTCAGCTTTATCCGAAAGTACTGTTTTTGGTTAGTTTAATTTCGTTAGTGTAAATATTCAAAAAGAAAGCAAGATATACAAAAGGAAAAATTGCTTGTCTGGGAGGATAAAATGGAATCGTCTGTTGACAAGAAGCATTTTATAGGTAGTATGAGCAAATCGCTAGAAAACTTACCTCAATGGTACCAAATAGGGGCCTTATGTGGGGTTATGATTGCCATTTATCTGCACAATACCTTTTTTATTAGCTGGCTCGTAATGAAACTACACAACCCGCTTGGCACTTCGTGGATTTGGTACCCAGAGTATCAAGAAGTTTTGATGCATTTATCGTTTAAAGGGCGCGTATGTTTTTCATTGTATGGTGTTAGTCTCGCTATTATCGTGGTGTTGCTGTATAGCGTCTTTTGCCACGAAAGATTTAAAATTGGTTCGCCTCTCAGCCAACTCTTCCCAGATCGAAAAGGTCTCACGGCTCTTATGTGTGTCTTGCTGTGCTTGGTGGAAATGATTCGTATGCATGAAGTGATAATTGAGTGCTTCACAAGGGAAAATTCGATAGCAAGCATTGCCCTCAAAAGGCTAGGAAGCGGTGCCTCCAGCAATTCCAAGAATAAAAAAAGTTTCCATTTTGTGGTCCAAGTGGAGTTACTCAAGGCATTTCTGCTCCGTATGCTTCCTCAACAAGTCATGGTAATGCTTGTGGCCATGGTGTATCGGCTGTTCAGAGATATACCACGAAAGATTTACGTAGCGTTGCGGTGGGATATGGTTACGATTGCATTTGTCCATTCCATTGGAAATGTTATCTCCATTTTATTTCTTCACAGTAAACCAACACTATCGACGTGGGCAATCATTGGATGGCCTGTTATTCTTTTAGGCACCATCAATTACCTTTACGGATCATCCAAGCGAGCCGGTATGGTGGTTACTATATCTTCCTCTTACACGCTTACTAAGACCATTCGCGGCCTTATCATGTGTGTGGCGCTTCGTTACATCATTTCCTTACTGGCGCTTTCTCTCCTTGTGAGCGTGCATGTTGTGGAACTTATTACTATCTGGTTTATGCTTATATTGATTATTCTTTGGATACCGGCTATTATCGATTCGTGCTCGTTAGAGGGAATCATATTCGTTACAAGTTCCTCAAGCATTATGCTCTATTTTATGGATCAACTCTCTATCCCAGCTGCCTTACGTCTGGGATTGATGGTGATGCTCTGGTGGCTCAATGTTTCTCTTTTATATAACCTTGCCGTTAATATCTTTCATACGCGATACGCTGGGATTAGTGTCGTGCTGTGCCTGTTCCTGTGGACAATTTTGCCTCCCAAACAGAAAAAGGAACCCTGGGGATGGGCTGTTCGCCAAGGCTTGACTGCAGGAAAAGTGATGTTGACCTCACAAAGTGGTAACGGAACGATTATCGACGCGTCCACGCCAATGATAGATACCGTCCTACAACAGAAAATAAAATGGATGTGTGACGTGGTTGAACTACGCGCACCCTTTGAGTGTAAGACGATTTGGCTAAGTCAATTTGTGAGGAGTAATGAAGGCTGTGGAACGTATCACTATGTGATTTTTGTTAACCTCGGCCTGAACATCATACTTGTTACGCTGCTAACCTTTCTCAGCGCGTTCCAAAGCCCTGAAGTGCGGTTAAGACTGGAGCAAAACAACTTGGTCCTCGTTACTGCAGGAATCCTTATTCGTAAGTTTGCACGAGCGATTGTGATCACATTTTGCGTTGTTTCTTTTCTTGCTTCGTGGTGGGCATTTCACCAATGCATTTTGCCCTACTTCACTCCAATTTTGCCTAGTTTGGTTTCTCACGTTGTTTCTGGTGTTTTTGCATGCATTACCTTAGGCGCTTTGATGGATATGAAGGATACTATGTATGAGGGGATACTACAGGTTCTTGGATTGATGGATCCAGAGGAGTACAACCAGGAGAGCAGTTCGTAAGCTAGTGTTTGCACAGAGTAGTTGCAGAAACCTCAGCAAGGGGAAAAGTTCTCCTCGAGCTGGTGTTCTATTACAAGTTGTCTTTTATCAGTGTTTGTGTTTCAAATAATGAACATTGTTCCAAGATGGAAATTATTTGCGAACCAATGATTAAGTTATATCAATCTGTCTCTTCTCTTACATACAGTTCTTTAAGAAAAGGAACTAACAAGGCAGACACATGCACACCAATAAGGAACATATGGAAAATCATGAGACTGCAGAGGTTCTAGCCACTTCCAACCAAAACTTCGAAGACACATTGAGTGATACAGAGCTTAAGCCTTGTTTTGGATGGTACCAACCTCGGTTTTGGGGGTCGAATGCGAACCACACTGTTGGTAATGAATCAGGGGGCCAAGGCGGCAAAAGTTTTTTTTTTGATTCCACGAGAAAACTCTTAGTCGATGACGTCACACAACGGAAGAGTGAAAGCGACGATGCAAAAAATTTTGATCGACCTCATAAGGAGAAGAAAGTTAGTACGGCAAGCACGTATGACGATTTTGAGAAGCTATTTGCACCTCTTGGGCGAGCTACCCCTATAGAGGATATCTTCTGGGGACCCCCGTTGAGTAAGAAGCGACCTCCAGCCACAGACTATGAACGGCTACTAACTAAATAAGTAAATAAAACACAACCTGAGAGCATCCCACGTTCCGATTTCACAGCAGCTCTCGTACTGTTTCGATAGGGGCGGATTGCTATCGTGTTGTTTTTCATGTTTCAGTTTCCTCTTCATGTAGGCTTAACGAATACGTATCTATCTATCTATCTATATATATATATAGATAAATGGGTGCTTGTCTACGATTGACATCACTAGTATCATCCTTGTTATACATATTTTTGCTTTTCTTCTTTTTCCTCCTCTCGTTCGTGGCACGTTCTGTGCACCAACCTCTGTCTAAAGTTTCTTCTTGAAGTGGTTTGAACTTATACACAAGGAAAAAAAAAAGGTGCGCGAATGAGCTATGAGGACGCACACGGCAAAGCTAGGCTGCCCGACACGTTCACGAAGGAATACCCCCACGGAGGCCATGGCGATACCCATGGGGTCGCCATCGCGACGTTAGATCCCGCCGACCGGCGTGAGGTCGGGTCTCACGGGCCCAGCGGGAGTCGTGCCCTCGTGGCGGTTG